CTCTACTCCGCTCCTTTGAGGAAGATTCTCAGCAGAGCTATCATATGTTTCTCTTCTTTGCTCTGCTAGGGTGTTTCCAGCAGAGATGTCCATTTTCTCTCAGCTCCAGCTCAAAATCTTATTTCTATGATTCACTCAAGGAAGGGGGAAATTGTTGCAGAATATAACTGAGTCCGATGAAAAGCTGTTATACTGTACTTCTTTAATGGAGTTTGACAGAGAGCTGTCCATTGTTTCTTTTATCCAATCGAATAGTGAATTTCTTATTTCCTTAAATTAAGTGTCTCCACTTAAAACACATTCAAGAGATTTATTTAGCAGGAGGGAATCCAGGAACCTGGCTGCCTTTTGAAGGGCAAAAAAAGGCAGCTCCCACCTTAACAGGCACAGGGCTTGAACAAACTGAAAAACTGGCTGGATTTTATGCTCTGGAATTGTTTTCAAACTCAGGGATTGGTTGCGTTTGTGCGTAGTTGGTCAAGGGAAGAATGTTTCTTTGGTTCTGGTTTCAGGTCTAACATGGTTTTCTTTCACTGGCCCCTTTTAAATTTTTATTATTTATTTATTTATTTATTATTTTTTATTTATTATATATTATTTATGAGTGTTCTACATGTATACCTGAATGACTGAAGAGGACATCAGATCCTCTTATAGATGGTTGTGAGCCACCATGTGGTTCCTGGGTATTGAACTCGGGTCCTCAGCTCCTCTGGAAAAGCTGCCAGTGCTCTTAACCATTGAGCCATTTCTCCAGATCCTCCCCTTTTTAACATTTTTGGTCTGGGTTCATGGTCAGGGTATTTCTATAACTGTTTCTGGATTCAGAAACAACCTGTGTTTATTTGACTGTGGTTTCACAGTCCAGGCATGCTTTTCCCTCTGGTTTCAGGCCCCAAAAATGTGTCTTTCATGGGCTCCATTTTCAGGGTCAGAGTGTGTTTCCATGGCTGGCCCTTTTACCCTACACATAAGCATTCATAATTTATAAATTTGGTTTTCTTCATTAAGTTTGCTAGTGCAAATAATAAAAAAATGGACAACATAATGTTTGAACAGTTTGTTGACACTGTCAAATATTACCTACAGAATGCATACTTTTCTGTAACTGATTATAACTGTGTTGGCTGTAGATCTTATAAAGTACTTTATAATAAGATGCCATGAGTATCTTTTTCAGATAGTCAAAGACTCCTAGTAGAGAAAGACTTCAACAGACTAATTGTACACCAAATGTTTTACTCTTGTATATCTTTACCTCACTGCCTATATTTATAGAGTTTCTCTGCAGAATGAGTTTTTTTCTAATGATTTTGAAGATTACTGACTGATACATGCAAAGGCTTTACCACATTGATCACATTCATAGGGTTTCTCTCCAGTATGTGTTGTTTTATGCATTTGAAGAGAACTATGATATGCAAAGGCTTTACCACACTGATTACATTCATAGGGTTTCTCTCCAGTATGAGTTCTTTTATGCATTTGAAGATGAACATGTCGCGCAAAGGTTTTACCACATTCATTACATTCATAGGGTTTCTCTCCAGTATGTGTTCTTTTATGCATTTGAAGAGTATTGTGTTGTGCAAAGGCCTTACCGCACTGATTACATTCATAGG